GCGACTGATCCCGCTTCGCTTCCCCTGAAAACCATGTGATTCCCCACCCCCGCCCCCCCCCCCCCAAAAAAAAAACCTTCCAACCGTAGGCGATGAATAGTGACTGGTCTCTTTCTCTCACTCTACCCAGGCCTCTCTCCAAACAGGAAGATAAATAAAAAGTTTCAGGAAAACTGCCAAGGTTATATGACTTAATGCTGCGGGCCAATCAGATTATCTAGAGGGCGGAACAATATACTTGTAAGAAATATGTTTTTTTCGTCTTGTCACGAGCGTAGGACAAAGAAAAATTCTGATCCCCACGAGGAATCGAATCTCAGACCTTCGGATTTACGCTCCGATGCTCTACCACTGAGCCACAGGGACTCTACGGTGACCGAAGTCTATTACGAAGTTCATATGACACGCGTCCTGCATACTGCTAGGATCAGCAATGTGGATAGCGTAATTTTTTTAGATAGAAATAATGAAACTTTCAGTACCTCCATGTGTTGAGGGCGCATTTTGTAGGTCTTTCTAAATATGCAAAATTAATTTTTATATATTCATAATCACATTGAAAATAAAGAGGTTAAGAGACACCAGAATATACGTCAAGCTCTCAATCAATTAAAACATTGCATAAGAATAAACTGCAGCGATTAAGTAAAATCTAAAGCGATGAAAGGAAGTGCTTTGAAACATCGTCCTCAGTCATGTGGCAATTTAAAATTTGAAACAAAACCGGCGGCTGAGATTGATTCTAGAAGACTGTTAATAAAAGATGTGCAATCGAGATCGAGTTTTGAATTACAGGAAGATATATGATAATAAAAGCAGCTTATTCTTGGTTTTGAAAAGAAGGAATAAAGGGTTGATCTTGTAATAACTATATGATGACTGGATAATTTCGAAATTTTTGAGCAGTGCTGTTTGGTTATGGTGAAAGCAACTTGTCATTTTTCACGGAAAACTTTTCAACAAGCGTTCCAGGTTCGAATCAACTCCAGGTGTAAAGTGTAAAAGAAAATCGCAAAACATGGCTGAGGCAGGTTTTATTTTTTCAATTCTGTATTTTTGTGCTAAGAGTTAAGATATGATTTCTAAAATGACTCCTTGCTATGATACATTTGCTTACAATTTTAGGTAGTGTGCTCTTTCCTTAAATATCTGCCTTGACGAGCGTAATGTTAACCTGTTTAATTCAACAAGGCCTTGTTTGACAGCGACGCCAACGAAAAGCAAAAAAAACTGCATTTAAAGAGATATTAATGACTAACATGCTCTTCTCGAACGTAAAGACTGTATTAATGCTTTTGTGATGACGTACAAATTGGAAACGCACGTATGAAAAGCGAACGATTATCTAACAGAATCCCTTTTATTTGATCCACGCATCATTTTTTTCTCATTTTCAGGACACAAATTAATCACACCTGCCTCGCAAACTCTTTGTCATTGTGGTTTTAGGTCTGTGTGTTTTGAAACTCACTCCGAAAGAAGAGATACTCTATAGCTAACGAAGCTTTCCGCAGGAACTTCATTGGCTTTGCGTCAATTGGTAAGTGGATAAATATTTCGTTTTCTATTTTTACATACAGACTGAAAGAAGTCTTGTGTTAATAAATGTTACATAAGAACAACACTGCTTATTCCAAATGCTGTTCTTATGCAATTGAAGACTTCTATGTTGTTCTATACCCAAAAATTCGTGCTGAGAAAAAAAAAATGTTTGTATGCCTGCTTCAAAAGATGGATTCAGTTTCGTTGTAAGAAATATGACTGGCCCTCTCAACTACGTGTACTGTTGCTATAAATATTTTCCTTTGTTGCCCGTGGGGTGAAAGTAAATGCTAAAAAGCTTTTTCTTTGATCGAGTCCTGTCTAAAGTGCTGTCAAGAATCGTTAATATGGAGATGAATGCTGAATTTTCTAGCTTTCATCAATTTTACTTTGCTTCATCGGATTGACATTCAACTGAATAAGAACAGAGTATTTACCCCAAAATCTTGTTGCGCTTTTTTTCTTTCACTGGGAATAACCTTCCCCATCTTTTTTTTTGTTTTTTTGCCAACGATTTTTTGTCAACTTATTCATGAAATTGAATAAGCAATTTTGGACTTAATGTTGATGTAAAATTTAAATGCTATTATTAAGAAAAACTTTAACTGTACGTGAGCCGAAATCCCAGAAATAATTCATCGTTCGAAGCAGGTTAAAACCCTATGTTGATTTCAGTTGATTTCAAAAATCACGGAAAACCATTTTCGTTTTTTCCAAAAAAGCAATTACTGCAGACATGAGTTGAAAACAACCTGAATACAGTCAATAGCACAAGTTACGCATTTTACCCGCGTTACATGTTTATTCTTTTGGAATTACAAATCTATGCAATAAAATCACTGCGAATATGCAAAAACAAAATTGTCTAAAATAAATCTCAGAATAGATTTGAACTGAGATAAAAAGCAAAAAACGTGTCATCATTAATTTTATGCATGGACAAAAAGACATAAAGTCATCTGACTTGCATTAGAACATGAAAACACACAAAGGAGAAATATTTTTAATGGTGAATTACTCTTCAATTTTTACCTAATGATCTATAAAATGTGCGCTCAACTGAAATATCTCTCAAAGTCGAATAATTTTTTAAAATACAGGGTGGAAATTCCGCATAAATCTGCTGAAATAAATGTTGGAAGTTAAAGCTTTTATTTGATCTTGATAGCGTTTTTTAAGTTCCTGTTAACAGATCATTTATTTTGTATATACTTTTATGACGCTTTTTAGATCACTCATTTATTGTCGGCTCTGTACTTGGGCACCTTTGACGCTTTAATTCAAAAGAAAATTTCCAACTTCAGCTAAAAACTAAAATTTACTTACACCTGCAAATTGATTTTCCAAATTTCAGCAGATCGATTCCATTTTTTTGTAAAAATGGCCTCCAGTGCTAACATTTCATAATTCAAAGCTACATCGCGTAAATCATCTTTATGATGAACTTTTGTCATTTGTTTATTTGACTTTAGCTTTCATTTTCCGTAAAAAAGGCAAACTTGTTTCCCCTTTATTTCTTGAGTCGTTTCCATGAGTCATAAATTAACGCTCTTGAGCTATTTTAAGGTCTGTAAACAAAGAAAATGGAGCAATTTAGAATTGAGAGTCGAAAGTCATCCAATATTGCACTGGTTTTCCCTTACTTCGGGCGTTGATTGGTCTAAGAAATTCGCAACAACCCTCTCGACCAATCACATGCAAAACTCAAACCATTCGCGACGCTTTAGGCAGTTTGCTTGTTTTTACGTTGATTTCTCATTGGTTCCTCGTGATATTCTTTGGTTTTCGATTTATACGACGCTCTTCTTGTATAGACGAGATTTCCCACCCGTGCCGATGGCCATTTTCATAAATTTGTAGGATCATTTGGTTTACTAAATAAACCAATGAACGGTCTACCAAGAAAGCTCTGTGTAATAACTATTTCTACTAATTATCTTCTTTGAGAAAAACATTTAAACATCATATTTTGTCACGTTGGACAATATCTCTTTAGAAAAAAATATGTAGAATTTATCCTCACCTTTCTTTTCTAACAGTATAGCATCACTAGCGGTAAGCGAAAGTAATGGTTTGCCGTATCATTTCTAAATCCCGCAACTTGTTTCACCGCACACTCTTCTTCGGCGTGTTTTCCCACCGTAGACAAAAATCGCAGAATAAAAAAAGAGAGAGCGGACCTGCACGAGTATGATCTGCGTAAAACAATTGGTAAATAGCACGATACCACAAAATACAACGTTGAATGCTTAAATTTTGTGTATAGTCTTGACCCTAAGTCTTGACGATCTCCTGAGTTCTTTCAGATTTTCCTAAGAGCTGAAATCTCTTTTAATAGTCGTTGCAAAAAAAAAAAATATATATATATATAATAATTAGATAGGTAGGAAGTATCTTTAAGGAACCGGTAACTCCAACAATGCACGAATTTGGTTTCTTTGATTTTTTTTTCTTTAGGATTAGTTGATGGCTTTAGCCAATTTTGAAACCAAATCAACGCGCACTGATTTTTTCACGCTCTTTAGTAACAGACGTCAATTAACAGACCGCCAATAGGGAAAGAAATCAATAATGCGAATCAATAATCTTGTTTTATTTTATTCTAAAAAAGAAAACATCTGCTTTCATAGGCTTGAAACCTTACCTTTCATTAAACTCTTGATCTGCTTTTAAAAGCCTCCACCGGTAGAATCCAATTTGCGTGCAAATTTATCATTTTGTCAACCTTATTTTGACTAGTAATTTCAGTTTTCATTCATCTGGACAATTCTCACAGAAAAGAAGGCTAATGAAGATCCCTGCATGGTGCCTAAAGACGTTAAGGTGGGACGTATTTTGATTTTATTTTGAACCAGCGGGTTGTAAAAATAGTTCAATGTTTTCGTCGAAAACAAACACCTTGAGGGAATGTTGATGAATTTGGCAATGTGGTTCATTGGGTCTTGAATGGCTTACCGAAGACCTGTTTGTTTAATTGTTTTCGGTTCTCAATTCTGATTGGTCAGGTACAGAAAACCTGTCAAGTCACGCAGTAATACCGTTACACCTTTGCAATGTATTTGGTGAAACATCGGACGTTTTTAGTAGACAAATCTGGTAATTCAGTGTCCGGGAGACTGATCACTGCAGACCGCAGTAAATGCATTGGATTGCAAAAACATTCATTGACTATGTAAGTGACTTTCTACCGAGATGACTTCACCTTGTCAGAAATTTATTAAAGACAGACTACCCACGGATCAAATCTAAATTTAAAGTTATTCTTAGAAGATGAATTTTAGTCGTTCGTTTTCGTAAGGTCCTGGAGACACTTTGAAGAGATAATGTCTTCTAAACTCAATTTAATCATACGTTGTTCAAAACGCACACAACGTAATTAAACTGATTTACGGCTAGTTTTTGTGACCGAGAGCACTTTAAATAACTTAGGTTAATTAGTTGTGACCGGCCCACCAAAAACAATTGAGATTAGTGTGATCGTGTAAACAACACTGGTTTTCACGAGTTGTTTATCACTTTACACGTAACTAAAGAGATGCAGAGGCTTGTTGTTCTCTCTGTCTCTGAATTTAAATGAACGACGCAAGATTTGGTCGCCGTTAGCTCAGCTAGAAATATTACCTTTTCTGAGGAACATTTATGCCAATCGTGACCAGAAACCAGTAGCGGTGTAAGATGATGTTGTTATATTGTGACTGAAGGTAAGAAAATCGGAAACATTTTGATTATCAAGTATGTTTAGATTACATTGCAGATAACCAGACCGGTTTCAGAAAGAGCCGCTATGCGCTCAAATGATTGTTTGCTTTTGTTCAAGGTGAGACCCGCGAAGCAACGCTTACCATGCCGACAAACACCACCACTTATCTGAATGCAACGAGGGCATCGCTTATCGTGGAGTCGCTGTTTTTCGTGGTGTTAAGTCTGATCATTTTGGCAGGAAATTCTCTTGTCTGTACAGCGATTTACAAGAATCGCAAGCTCCGAACAAAGACAAACTACTATTTGGTTTCGCTTGCGGTGGCCGATATCATGGTTGGACTTGCTTCTGTACCGTATTGGGTGTATTTCCGGTTAGGTAAGACTCAGCAAATTTTATTTATTTTTTTTTCAGTTGAGACTCATGTCACGAAATTTGATACAGTTCTTAAACCTTTTAGTCTACCTTCAACTCTGTAGGATACTACTGAATATCAGTTTGGTAACATAGAAAAACATCAGAGCGGCAATTATGAAATATGACGAACGAAGACGACTGAACTGAATAGATTAGTGAAGCAGAAAATTTAACCTGAAGGAACCATGACGTGTGACGTATGCATATGTTTGCCATTTGTAATTACTTTACGCAACAACAGCGCAAATTTTAACAAAGAATGCTGATGAAGTAATTGACACTTTGTCGATCTTCATCGCGTAAACAAGCGCAAAGTATCTCCATTTACGTTAAATTCTGTAAATACCAGGAATATGCTTCTTATCTGGTGTAAAAAAGAAAACCCTCGAGTTGTTAATTTCCGACGAAGCTGTGGTAAGAAATTTCCGAATTCAGACACGTCTCGGGAAACAAATGGTGAGAAACACTTCAAGTGTTTCCATGTTTAAGTTCCATCCAAAAATGATAGTAAATTTTCTCTTGAAAACAATTTTAGAAAGGTAAAGTAGAAAACAGGTGGTATGATCTGTTTTTGAATGGTATACTCATAAACGCGCTAATCCTCACGTTATTTCAGTATAGCTAGACTGTTATTTTTATCTTGTACGGCATGTTAGGGAGCATAAACTTTGGTTTTTATTCAGTTTCCTTACCATGAATTGTTTTTGTTTTTTTTTTTTTGCTTTCTTCACCAATTGCTAGAAAGTTCTCCTTCGATAAATTATACTTAAGATTGGATCTTAAATAACAAACCGCGTCAACTGATACGTTTTTGCGTGCATCTTACAAAGGTATCGTCTCATTACAAACTTGTCAACAATATTTGAAGTGTTTATCAAGTTTCCGCTAATGAGTTAAACTTGATGGCGCGAGTTGTCCAAGCCTATTTAAACACAGAAAGTGTTCAGAGATGTTAATATTACGATTGTTCTCGAAAGAATATTATCAAAACCTTATTTAAGTGTTGATGTCTACCCTAGCGACGCCAAATTTGTAACGTCTTAAGACATTTCTTCAAGTAAAGAAAACAGATCATGTCCTACAATTTGTCAACAACAAAAAAACATCAGCTGATAGTCTCTTGATCGTGTTCAAAACAAAACTTCAGCTTCATCCATCAAAACAAAGCTTCAGAGGTCAACAAATTGAAGATAAGTAAATAACGTTTGAGGAAATAAGCACGGTCATATTTGCCCTTTTAACATGATACCAGAGTCTTTGATTTACGCTGCATGAAGCCTCGCTCGTGCGCGGCGCGCTTCGCAGCCTCCACGCGTGTTGACGCGAAAGAAAGAGGTCGCTGGTTTCTACGCATGCCTTGTTGTTGTGAGAAAGGGAACAATCTTCAAATCGTGTTGTCGGTCAGTTGTAACTCGAAGTGCAAAAAAAAAAAGAAAAAAGAATTTTAACACTCCAGAGATTAGACTGATCTGCTCTCATTTTTTTTCGGTATTTATTTTCTCAAAGCCTTCCAAAGTGATCATGTTCTAGGCTATAAATACGTTTTGGAACCTTCTTAGTTTTCGTTTTACACTCACTTGACGGTTCAGGCTAAAACCACCCTGATTCAGGTCCAAAACATAATTATACCTGCGAAGATAAGCTCTTTTGTTTTATTGAAAACCGCACAAAATTTTCATCAAAACCGAACAGCCAGATTTGAAAACGTTCCAAAGTGAAAAACCACAGAGACTAATGATTCAAACGACGTGAATTTACGAGGCTAAATAATTGGAAAGGTGAATGACAAAAATTAAAAAAACTATTCGTCGTTAATGGGAAAATTTAGAAGCAGCAGTTGGCACTTAAAAAAGCAAGGATTTTGAGTGTTTAAAATAAAAATGAAAAACAAAAAAACAAAAATGAAATAAAGCTGGAATCATGAATATTTAACTCGCCCTAGGGCGGCCTATCGAGGATGTTTCTCGAAAAAAATGGTTTAACACCTTGGATGCATTAAAGCATCGAATAAGCGAAATCTTTTGAAACATTTTACTTCTGGACAAAAAGTTACTCACGTAATCCATATCACGAAAAAAACTGATTTGCGTTGCATATACGCTCTATTGTGGGATGTAGCGGAGAAGAGGCGTTGGTTTTGTTGAGCGACTTTCAATTGAGTGTTCTCAAACAAAACCTCAAAGAAGCGCTTTAGAGCGCTCTCGAGAGCTAACTAGAATCGTTACCAGTCCCCTGTGCGACCGTTTTTGGTCTGTCATGCATCGCTTTCCCTCTTCTCTCGCAGAGAAGGCGTTGCGTGACGGGAGCAAACAACGGCTGCGAATGAGGCTAGGGATGATAGGCTAAAGTTCTGCAGCGTATTAGTTGAGAACGGACGAGAATCTTCTTTTTTTTTAATAGATTGCAGGGCTAGGAAGCAAAAACAATGTAATACCTTCGTTGACAGTTAGTTAAATAGGCTCTTTTTCATATATTCATGTCTTGATTATTTTTTCTTATTCTTTTTCCTGAACTGTAGTTAACTCTCAGACAGATACACTTTCGTACAAAATTTACATCACTTATGACATCATCTGTGGTACTTCATCCATCATGAACCTTGTGATGATAAGCTTGGAGCGCTGTATCTCCGTCACACAACCGACTATCCATAGAAACTTGTCACGCGAGACTATTTGCATGACCATTGCTGCTGCCTGGGCATATGCCCTTGTGGTCGCGAGCGTCAGTCACATAAGTGGATCGTATCTTGGGTGGTACCCTGTTTTTGTAAGCACTGCGAGCTTCTTTCTGCCGCTGTTTATTATCCTCATTGCGTACGCTTTGATTTATAAAATAGCGCAAACGAGGGAACGAGCGAGACAGTCGCGATCACTTGCGCGGGAAATCCGCATCGCTGTGACTCTTGCAGTAGTTATTGGAGCTTTCGTCGTTGCTTGGTTACCATTCTTTGTCATGTTGCTTGTGACGACTTACTGCAAGACGTGTAAAATTGATTACGCTATAATGGTGCCTTTTACAAAGTGGATGCACTACAGCGGATCTATGGTGAACCCAATCATTTACACTCATCGCAATCGCGATTTTCGTCACGCGTTTGCAAAAATATTAATTTCATGTGGAATGAAGCAAATGAGATTTTCTTTCTCTCAATCTCATCCGCATTCTAAAGCTACTCCATTGGAAATTGGAAACTTTCCCTCAGATTTGAAACAGGGATCTTTTTGTATATCTCGGGAGGATAGTGAAATTCCTGCACGAACAGCGAGGGCAAACAGCTACGTTCTGGCGCAGGAAACAAACGGTCGCGTGAGCATTTCCGGATACGGAGGCAAAGAAGCAAGAGCGTAACTCATCACTTCCATTTAAAGAAGAATTTTTAATGCGGGGGAAAACTACAAAATCAAGTTCGTAATAGTGATGAAACTTGGTTCTGAATCTCAAGCTCAGGGTGGAACTGAAGATATTTTGATAACTTTTAAACTATTTTAATTAAAATTAAAAAAACTAAAATAATGTAAGGGTAACTATTCTTTTCCATCGTTGTTTCGAATAATTCTGATCATATTCATTTCCAGAGATGTTTGAGGTGAGTGTTTCATCATTATACAGAGTTGTTCTCAAAGTGATAGAAACAAGTTTGGTTCAGGCATGTTTTTATTTATTCTACAAATTACTTGTATTTTCCGCAGGCAAAACTCTTTCTTCTCACCCGATGAATTTTTGTCCTGTTTTGAAATAAAACGGTTTTTCATAAGATGATTTGAATTTTAAGGTGTTTTCGAAAGACTCGATGTTTGATGTTATTGATTCGTAAGAAGCCACCTTTTTTTAACGAGGAAAACGAAGTACATAAATGTACTGATCGTTCCAAAAAAACTTTTCCATAATAACTTTTAAAGAAAGAACCATGGAGCAAATTACTAAGTGGTTTGCTTTTATACAAATAGTAAAGTGATCAAGTGAAATCCACTGTACACATACACATTATTCGCGCCTTATTTATCTACGTCATTCATAACATTTTTCCGTACTCAAATAAAATTTGAATAAAAAATAATGAATAATTCTATTTGACGTATGCACTTTTGTTTTTTTTTCTGATTGCATTTGCCTCGATAAAAAAGTAAGATTGGTGCTTTCAGCTGTGGTTCGCACCAAACAAGAACATGTCTCATGTTTGCGCATGATTGAAAGGGTCCACTAGCCGAAAGAGGAGTTGTTTTTCCCATGGTCCCTTGCATTCTCAGATCATTTTGACCATTTCTTGCGCAAGAAACCATTATTATCACTTTGTCGCGCATTGTGGCGCATTTTACGGGCAAAAATGGAGATTTTTGTTCTCCAAATAGTAATAGAGTTTGTGTTCTTGGGCATAAATATGTTTTATGTCCTTCTCAAAGTCACTTAGCAGTTCGGGTCAAATTGACTCTGAGTCAGTCCCAAAACATATTTATATGCCCACGAACATAGGCTCTATTGTTTTATTATAACAAATCGGCTTGAAGGCCTCTAGGCATATCCCATACCGGTATAAAATTTGAAGGCTTCGACACCATAGAAGCTGGGAAAAGTCGCGACAAAAATTCTGCATCATACGAATCGGAGAAATTTTGTGAAACATCTCTTCAGTCTTTTTGGTAGAATTTTGCCACCGCAACAAGTAGCCCAAATTCAAACTGGTTCAAGTTGTGCGGTAAAATGAATCACAGCGACTTGTTTTAGAACGATTTCTCGCTGTGACTTCAGTTGAGGCGTGATCTGTCATGTGACATGTCATTTGATCTATTGCGTGACTTATCGCGCGACTTGTTTCGTGACTAATTGCACGATGTGTCCACACTTTCAGGATTCAAGTGCGCAAGGCCAGGAGAGGGAGTGGATAAAACTGAACGTGACATTACGCGCATATTTGCATATCTAACAAGCAACCTGTTGTTAGATATTCTTTTGTCCTTCCAACTTTCCACGAAAAAAATGCAGAGCTTGGCGCCTTAAAAATCAAAACGAATAAAAAGCAGCTTTATCCCCAGTCCCTCCGCCGCATTCTACAACATAGCCATCAAGCACCGCGCCCCTTTCATGAGGAGCAGCGCTCCTTCGACGAGATGTAGGGGTGCTTGGTACGAAACGAGAATGCAATACTTGCGATATGTTAACCGTGTTATAACGCACAAAACTGGAACCTTAGCCTACTTTGATGGCTGTCTTGTAGGAGTTATAAACATAATTGCACGCTTTGATTACGTTTCGCTGGTGATAGAGTACAAGACAATTGAATAAGCCCTGGTATTAGGGCTGTCTCTCAATTTCCTTCTTTCCGATCCCGCAAATACCAGCATCGTCTACACAGGAAAATTTCGTCCTGGAAAAGTTCTTCCTCAACAGCTCCTCCTGTTTTAGAACTAACAGGTCTGTCTCTAAACAAGGTAACTTGTCAAGGAACTTGTTTCATTCTGGCGCATGTACACTGCAAAGCTGAACCCCTTTATAGGAGAAAATCTGTAAAGGAAAAAGGTCTAAAAACGGCCAGTGGTAATGTGGTTTAAGAGTTCAAGATGAGTGGTTCCAAAGACATGACTCAACTAACTCTTTCTATCGTGATTAATTTTATTGAACTAAGAGATTGAAAGTGATTCAGCAAACATCGGATCACTAATTATGAACTCTCTTATGTCGTTGTCTCTTAGAAGAGAAAACATAATCATGCTCTACTTTTCTTCTTGTCCAATGCATAAATGTTAATTTGATTTAATTACCACAAGTGGTAAAATGGAAGTCAACATGTGAAATTTCACGGTATCATTAAATATTTCAAAAAACCAATTCATCCATTAAATTAATCCCTAACAGCAACTAAACTTGATGGAATAACAAACGATAGGAACAATTTCAAGTTGGTTTCCATTCCTATAAAATTTCATTTGAAACATTAAATCAAAAAACCCAGTTTGATCTGATACAAATTTTTTTCAAAAATTACTGCATTTTTTGACATGTGAGCTATGAAATTGGAGACATTCCAGAAGGCTCAAAATATTATCCTCTGAATTGTGTTCAGAGGATTTCGGTTGAACTTTGCTGTTTCAGCTTTTACGCCCTAACTCCCAAAAGTGATAAGCGTAAAATTGCACCCTTAAATATTCATACACTATCCAGCAAACAGGTAAACAGGAATATTCAAACCTATCAGGTAGAAGCTGTTATCTTGATGAAACACCAATTCTTGTTACTGATCTACTAGGAATTGTGTAGCAGCTAAAGGGCAGAATTAACAATAATATCTTGGGAGTTAAAGGGGTCAAGATGTTTGTAGAAACAAAGATTGATGGTAACAAGGAACTTTAAGGAGCTTCTCAAGTCAAAACACAAATAACAAAAAATCAAAAGGACATATTTGCGTAGTGTAAATGAATTTGTGCCAAATTGTTCTATCCAAGTCATTCTCAAAGTAATTTCCATTTAAAAACAAGAGAAAAAATGTTATAATGTCTAAATCATTTCAGCTAGAAGCACTTTTCAAAGAAAAGATGGTAAGCCATCTTCATTCTTACCTTATTCAGTATACTGGAAAAAATAAAAGCTAAACAAATCATTTATGTTAAATCAAATGCATAGTTTTGTGTAATTTCTTTGACGTGAACAAAATTTGGATCCTAGCCTTAATATTTTATACAGTGTAATTCTTTCATTGTCTTATGCAAAAATGATTGCATTAACAAGTTGTTTCCAAGAAAATATTGCCAGGCTGCAGTTGTGGGCCATTTCTATGATTCATTCCATTTGATCCTGGAATGGTCCCATCTGGCTCTGACTCCCGTCCCATTAAAGTCGCACGCACTGCCTGCTTGTACATTCCTGTTGGTATTTTCAAGCACATAACATCTGTAACCACGCGCACAGAGTAGTCTGGAATGTACTGACCAAGGGGTTTTGCATTCAGTGATGACAGTAGTGCCTTTGTGCCAAAGCTAGTAAAGGGGCCCTCTTCGAATGTGAGCTCATCTTGTCCAATAGTAACTTCAACTTTTCCTTGAATAATCAGAGTGAAGAATTCAGCCACAAATCCTTTCTTGTACAGGAACTTCAGGTTGTCCTCCATCTCATCATGTAATTTGATCTCTTGGACAACATCAGGCTGGTTGATTAAACGCTTCAGCATGTTGAAAGAGATGACATCATTGCTGAATGCTTCTACAACTGTCACAAAGAACACAGCACATCAGCATTGCAGCGAAGAAGATCATTAAGAAACTCAACATACCAGACCACATCTGGGCTCAGATGCAAAGTTTATTAATACCTACACCTGCATTTAAGATATGTGAGTAGTACTGTATGTACATTGCTAAAAACAAGTATTTCAATAACATTTTCTGTGAGCAGAGTGTAAAAAGCAGCTGTGCCCAAAAAAGGACCTGTGAGGCAAAATCCAAACACAAGAACCCACTCTGAGGCTACACAGACAGCAATGAGAGGTATTTTGCGAGGCAGAAGACCACCAGTAACCCATGGCTTAAAAAGGATCATATTAAATCATTTGAACTTCCCACCTGTGGTAAGATACTGCAGTATTGCTAGCTGTAGCTGGGGAGACACTTTTGGCTTCTGCTGCTCTTCTGTGAAAAACGATAAATCAACAGGTCCCTTTCGTCCTTGAATGACTTGTCTAGATTTATTATCCACTGTTAAATACAAGAAAGAAACAAGTTGAAAACATGGAAACCAGATATAGAGTACCTGCAAAATACTGTGCGCCCACACAACCACACTCTTTTTTTGACCTATCTCTCTGTCTTCTGTCAAGAGTCTGCTTGTCAACATTTCTCTAACTTTATTCTATAAGACCCAACTAATGGTGAGGGTATTGTTTAGTTAAAAGCAGGGAAATGATAAACCGTCAAAAACTCTTGGAACTGAGCTACAAACCATTTCAAATTGTTAACATTAATTTTATGAAAAAACACTCAAAACACCTGGGTGCCAGACAATCAATATAATTGCACCAAGTACAGGATCAGATTTATAAAATAAGATAACTGTAGACTTGGGCAACAGACACACAAAGACAGAAAAAAAACAAAACAAAATAAAAAAGAAAGAGAGAAAGAAAAACAAAAAAAACAAGAAAAAATGGAATAAAATTAAGGACAAACAGTATTTAAAGCTATTTTCTAGGGTATTAAGCAATTCTCCTGTGAAACACCAAGCCACTTAATCTCTTTTGAATATCTCATGCTGATATTTCACAGGTATCCTGTGACTTTTACATACACATTTTTTTAATTAAATAAAAAAGATGATACTACAGAATCTGGAAAAATGTTTTAAATTGGGAAATTACACCTGATTTGCATTAAGCATTTTCTTTTTCATTACAGTGTGTGTATTAGAAGATGAGGATGAAGAAATATGTACTTGCACATAAATGCAGTATATTCAATTGCTTATATTACTGAATATTTTATTTGAGGGTAATAATTAGATCGAACCAACTTTGAGGTTAAATAAGAGCCAAATCAATGCAGGCTTTTATAATTAATGATAGTGAACTTCAAGCCACAATTTTTCCACAATAAACAACAATATTTTCAAAACAAGTTTTTTCATTTGCACCTCTGTTACTTTAAGAAAATCTCAGCAAAAACTGAACCTAATAAGTATAAAGCAGCTTACTTCAATCTAAAAATATTGTAATTTACTTTAAACAATTTTGGTGAAACAACATTGGCCAATAATCATTCCAAGAAGTGAATAATATCATGTGTTTTGATAGCTGAAATTGACATGTATATTGATGTTGTTGATATTAAACAGTTCACCAATGACAATAAATTTTCTATTTCTTCATTTTTTTTTTAACAATTTTCAAAGCACATCGAGCTTTATCACTGAATATAAGACAGGTATGGAAAATAATGTAACTTCTTACAAAGAAAGATTTCTTTCATTATTCAAACTGTGGTGATGTGGTTACCCACATAGACTACTTTAAATTCTCATGAGCTCTAGTTTCTCAATGTTT